TTTTTTTTTTTTTGGCTTATGTACAATTAATGCATTATCTAGTAGTTTTAATCTACTAGCTAACCAGAAATGATGACAGATTTGTGGGAAATCAAACACCCAGTATTCATCAGGCTGATCTACTCAGATTAAAATAATGGCTGGCTATAGCATCTTGATAGGTCTTGTGGGAAGCAATTGTTTTGATGTCTGATATATTTACATGCTTAAGGTTGTGTTGCAATCCATACATAAGCAGCTTCTAAATCTTTTTTAAAACTCTAATGAGCTTTAAAGTTGGACAGTTAAATGCAGTAGTCAAGGGAATTTTCATAGTATTTAAATAATATATTTACAAGTTGTTTTTTTTTTTGCAAGCACGCCACATAAAATGCCTTCCTTTTAAATGTTCTGGCTTGCTTCATTTTTCTTTAGATAACTTTTGCTGTTTCAGACTTCCAAACATTTGAATTCTTCTCACGCACACTTTTTTGCACATTCTGAGATGTTAGATGTTTCACCATTGGAATGCGTAACAAATCACTTCTCTTCACATGATATAGCAAGAGAGTTACACAAAGCTGAATTGCTGCAACTTTAAGATGAGCAAGAGGGAAGATCCAGGGAGCCACAGGTCTGCCAGCCTCACCTCAGTCTCCAAGATGATTGTGGAGCAGACGCTCCTAGAAGCCATTTCCAAGCATTTGCAGGACACAAAGGTGACTGGGAACAGCAAGCGCAGTGTGACTTTACCAAGGACAAACCTTTGATGGGAAGGTTGGCTCAGCAGAGAAGAGCTGTGCATGCTGTTTACCTTGAGCATTACCTTGAGCAGGCTAGAAGAGCATTGTGGGAGACTGATTTGTGAAATACGGAGTGGATCATAAGGGGGGTGTGCAATTGGATGGGCTGTTGGGTTCGATGTGTGGTGACCAGCAGCACAAACAGAACTGTCTGTTTTTAAGGGTGCTCATCACAGACCTGTAAAAAGGCCCAAATAGTTCATCTCCTCATCAATATCTGAACCAGTGCACACTGAGCAAGTTATTATTATTATGCCTATTTTGAGGAGGGGTGTGTGTGTCAATAGGCTGGCAGATAAAGCTGCTGTTCAGAGGAGTCTTTTTTACCGTTGTTTTCTTTCTTATTTGAAAGATTTTTTAACATAAAAACCATAAAAAGCAAGAAGACCAACGAAATTCTAGAAAGCTAGGGCAATACAGAATGAAAATTGACCAAGAAGATTTCATTTGGTCTTCTTAAGCATCTATACTATAACAAAAACTTTAATTTTAGGGACTGGCACTTAGTCTGCATTCCTCATGCAGGCTTGAGTCTTCTAGGATCTGATAGCTGGAATGATTCTGAACGTAGTGAAGTGTTCCTTGAACCTTATAATAGCTGTGGCTTTAATGTATGATACTAAGTATTCTCAAAATATCCAGCTTTTGGTGCTTCACTCTGGGCTTTCTAAATGCATAGATACGTAGATACATTTTCCTTTGGCAGACCTGTTTCATTTTCCTACCTGTATGATAGAGCTAACACCTTCTTCGCAATATGCAAGTATCAAATGCCACAAAGAAAAAAAGTCTTGGAAAAGCATATTAAAATAATAATTGATTTCCATATTGAGTTATGGAATTAGTACAGACATTCAGAGCACTTAAAAAGATCTAGTGTTCAGCCTGAAATGTTAGATAATACCTAGCCTCACTGAGCGTGATCCCCATTTATCCATTAGAGAGATTGCCCTAGGTGATTGAAAATAGTGATTAAACTCTGGAAACAAGATCCAGTAAGGAATGCAAGCCTGTAAGCCTGTAAGTCCTAAACAGATGATCCAGAAAACTACCCACGCAGTTCCTGCATATGTACGTTGTAATTTTACTTTGCTCCCCTATGTAATGTAATGTTTCCATTTGGTTCTGGGTATGCCCAAGTCTGGGAGCAGTCTGGAAGTAGCTATGTGGCTAAAAATTTATTTCATGTGATTTATTTATTTCAAGAGATTTTCTGCAGCAGAGATCCTTGACACTATGGTGCTATGTAACAAATATCACAAGTCTAAGCTCTCTAGAACTAAACACAACACAGGCTTTCTCTCAAAAAGTGATGATATCACTCTTAATCTTTTGTATGTCAGCACAGCAGCAATAGATCAAATAAGAAGAATTAAGAAAGTTCTCAGTTTTGAAAAACCTAGGGGTTTGTGGCTAGATTGTTCCATTGAAAAGAAAGATGTGAATCTCTGTCTGCAGAGGCTGGAAAGTCCTGTCTCTTGTGTCATATGTGAATTCTTTAAGTTTGGAAACACCAGTGAAAGAAAGCTACTGTCATGTAGCAGGAAGAAAGCCTGTAGGTTATATCTCTCTTCACACAGAGACAACTGTTTTGTTTAGAACACTGCATTTTCTAGGGCATTTTTTTCAGTAAAGTGAATCTTGAAGAAAGGTAATACATCCTGTCTATGTTCAGCTAATGAAATTAGGAATAAATTAAAAGAAAAAGAGAGAGAGAGAGAGAGAGAGAGGGAAAAAATAGCAAGATACAAATGAAAATGATGCTTCCACTACTACTGCAACTCAATCAGTGGTAATTTACGTAAAGGTTTGCTCAAAAAAATAAAAGAAAATAAAGAATATTCTGGTCAAACTTCTTTGAAGAAATTAACAGCATGCATGTGTTCATTACTTTGGCTTTCTCTTGAAATTCTAATTGTACCCTGTGATCTTACTTTACCAGGACCACAGTATGTTTCCGGTGTCTTTCTACTGCCCCTCCCTTGCCATAGGAAGTTCCTGTATTATTGTGTATCATTATTTTGTTCCTGTGAGTCCTTGGAAGCCTATGAATAATATTAAGAAGTTGTCTTCCCTGTGCTAGGAAAGAGAGTGTGTTTTTGTCCACATGTAAGCAGCCACTGAGCTTCATAGAGTCATGACATACAGGTAATGATTCCAGTTGAATCTGAAACTACAAATAGCTCAGAATTCCCTGCAAAACTCTACTAACAGCAGTGATTACAAATCTCTATTAATGATTTTCTTAGAGCCACACTTGCAGTCTCTAATATTTGAATCAGCTGATGAGATAAAATTACAGACAGTCCTTAGCATATTCCCAACTAAATCCTCCAAACCTTAATTACCATGGAAACTACTTATCCTTAAGGCACTACAGATAGCTGATTTTTTTAAATTTAATTTTATTTTTTTATTTTTGGACAAAAATGGCAGTGAGATCATAAAAATTGGGTCTGTGTGTAATGAGACCTTTGATCTTCCATCTACTCCTGTGTTAATTAGAAATAACCTCAATGAAGCAAGCTGAGTTACACAGTATAATTAGTTTACACAAGAGAAGCAGATTTGATGTGTTGTCCAGTTCAGTTTTTTCCAGGTCTTTTTCCATTAACTTCATGCAATTGTGTTAATACATTTCTTTTTCACTTCTCTATGAAAATAAATTGAAAATGCAAGATATTATTTGTATACAAAAGTAGTAGACATACCCATGTTTTGAGACAATTCTAGTAATAAATGGAACTAATCAGTCCCACTGAGGAGCAGTACTTAAACTGCGTTTACGTTACAGAGATCTGCATTTCCAACTTTATGTGTATTTCATCTCTGACTGCTTGCAGGGAGTCTCCTGTTTCATTTTAACATAAATTTTAACAGCTTTTAATTGAACAAAAGTAATTTGCAGTCAAGTTACTATCAAAAGCCCAGGAACAGGCTGCCTAGCAAAGCTGCAGATGACAGCCTGACACTGTGTTTGAAGTCAGGCTGGCCAGGGCTCTGAGCAGGTGTCCCTGTGCCTGACAGAGGGTTGGACTGTAAGATCTTTAACATCCCTTCCAACTCAAACCATCCTATGGCTCTGTGAAAAAATCCTGTTTCAAGTAGAAGCTCCCAATGAACTCACTTATTCCAGCTCTGCAAGCAAATGCCTGTAACATGCGCGTGTTATCATTTATGTAAACCCATCACTGTGCCATGTTTGCTGAAAGCTTTCCATTTTCATTTTGTTAAGCCTGATTATGAGTTACACTGTGGCAATAATTTATCTCATCTCCCATCTTACTGTAAGGTTGCTTTCTTGCTGAGCACCTCTCCTACAGAGAAAGGCTGAGGAAGCTGGGCTTGTTCAGTCTGAAGAAGGCTTTGGGGAAAGCAATCGTTGCAATCTTCCAGTACTCAAAAGGAGCTCATTAGCAAGATTGAGAGCGACCTTTTACCCAGCCTAGTAGTGATCGGACAAGCGGGACGGCTATAACTAAAAGAGTGGAAATTTAGGTTAGGTATTAGGAAGAAATTCTTTACTCAGAGGGTGGTGAGGCAATGGTACAGCTGCCCAGAGAAGCTGTGGGTGCCCCAACTCTGGATGTGCTCGGAGCCAGGCTGACAGGGCGCTGGGCAGCCCGATCAGGTGGCTGCCAGCCCTGCCAATCGCAGGCGATGAGAACTTCACCCACCCTACGACGGCCCCCAGCCCCACCCGTTCACGCTGAGCCTAGCGCCCCGAACGTCACGCTCAGTGCGCATGCGCACCGGAAGTTCCCGCCTTCCTTCCGGCGGCGCATGCGCCGAGCGCGCCGCCCGGCACAGGGCCGGGGCTGAGAAAGGGCCGAGGCGCACCGTGGTATGGCGGGAGGCGGCGCGGGGACAGGCCCGGGCTCGGGTCCGGCGGGGCACGATGTGGAACCAGCGGCCCCGGAGCGAGTCCTCTTCCCGCCGACCTTCAGCGTGTCCGAGATCAAGAACAAGCAGCGGCGGCACTTCATGTTCCTTCGCTGGAAACAGCAGCAGAGGAAGGTGGGCGCGGGCCGGCGTGGCGCCGTGAGCGGGGGGCACCGGGCTGACGGCTGACGGCTC